TCACTGATATACATAAGCTCATTGACATAAAAACACAAGCTCACTAACTAGCAGGCACACAGACACACACATGCAAGCAAGCTCACTCACTAGCAAACGCACACACACAGCTTAATGTAGTGGTTCTGGTGTCCATAGCCTGTCCCTGCAGGCTTTTCAATGTAAACACTGACTTTTCAGAGAAATGACAATGTTTACATTGCTTCCTAGTGACACCTCTGGTGACAGTCACTCAGATGGTCACTAGAGGTATTTCCTGTGTCAGTGCTGTACAGTGTGCAGCACCTACATTCAGGGCCTCCACACTCTGGGGGCTCTGAACATTCCCCATAGAGATACATTGATTCAATGCATCTCTATGAGGAGATGCTGATTGGTGTGGCGTTTTGCAGCCAATCCTATGGCAGAGCATTGGATTTGCTGAGATCATCAAGCTTGATGATCTCAGCCATAGAGGCAGGGCCAGTCAAGGGGAGACAAGCACGGCATGGGGAAAACAAAGGTGAGTAAAAACACTATATTTAAACATACACTACATTTAAGACACACGCATACCATGATACCCACATATACCATGACAGACACACACACACACCTTGACAGACACACACACACCATGACAGACAGACAGACACACACGTATACACACACCATGACAGGCAGACACACACACACACACACACTGATAGATTGACAGATATTACATGTGGGCGACCGGTCAGGGGGTCGTGCAGGACAGACAGCTGGGTTGGCTGGCGGCCGCTGAGGGAGCTGTGATGGTAGCCACAGGGGGAGCCGTGATGACAGCAGCAGGGGGAGCTGTGATGGTGGCTGCAGGGGGAGCTGTGCTGTCTCTGCTCTGCTACCCAGCGCGCAGCTCATTAAGTAGCGCACAAGGGCGGCGGAGCAGAGACAGCACAGCTCCCCCCGCAGCCGCCAGCACACACAGCTGTCTGCCCGACCCCAGGTGCTGACGGGCCACCGGGAAATTTCCCGGTATCCCGGTGGGCCAGTCCGGCCCTGATCATCAGCCATCCCGGAACAAGAGTTCCAAGATGGCTAATGTCAATTCTATGCAAACTTTGATGCACGTGCTCATTTATTGGCTGAGAGTGGTCAGCTGACTATCTCAGCCAATCAATAAGCAGTAGGATCAGCATCTGGACATCTTCCAGATGTCGTACATCCACCTACGAGGATCAGGTGCCCCAAAGACCCAGGTAAGAGGTCAAACCATTACCTGAGAGCAGGACCAGGGTATTTCTCACATTATAACCACAACAAAGGTCTGTATTGTTTGTGATGGTTTGAGTAAACCTTAAAAGGAAAACTAGAGTGTTGGGAATACAAAGTTGTTGTCTGGGTGCCTATAGTGTCCCTTTAAGTACAATCATACCTTTATTTATAGGACAGATAGTGCTTGAAAGAGATATGTGTATTGCTTTTACAAACCTCTTTGTTTCACATAGATTCTGTTTGGAGAAGTGACACTGTCTATGTCACCATATTGACCAGTGTCAAACTTTCAAGGTTATTTACTAAAGATAATTCAAAATGAAGTTCAAATTGAAGGTCACAATAGATGAACTGGACAAATTTAGCTAAAATTCGGTTTCTCTTTTTTTACCTTCTTCAACTGCGTACAAAGGGCCCATTTACTTATAAGAACTCTCTGGGGAGACCATAACAACTTCACTGGAATTAGGTTGTGATAGTACCAGGAGATCCTTGGTGCCTGCCTACGTTAAGGGGCTAAACCAGTGGTTCCAAAACCAGTCCACAAGGCACCCCTACCAGTCCAGGATTTAGAGATTACCCAGCTGTGTCTAAACTGTTTTAAGAAAAAACAAGACACATTTGGTTAATCTCGAAATCCTGGACTGGTAGGAGTGCCTTGAGGACTGGTTTGGGAACCACTGGGTTAACCTATTTAGGAATAGTTTAACCCTAAAGTTCAATATCCAGTGACCAATCACTCTGCCCCCTGAGAATCTTCAAAGAGTAAGTCTCGGCCAGACTGCCACTGATAGGGAGTCAGCGTATGCTATTAACCAATCAGTTATGCCACACCTGTGAGGTGGATGGATTATCTCGGCAAAAGAGAAGTGCTCACTAACACAGATTTAGACAGATTTGTTAACAATATTTGAGAGAAATTGGCCTTTTGTGTACATAGAAAAAGTCTTAGATCTTTGAGTTCAGCTCATGAAAAATGGGGGCAAAAATAAAAGTGTTGCGTTTATAAGTTTGTTCAGTGTATATATGTTTTTTTTCCCCCATGGAAAAGCAAATATAGAAAAAAAAAAACCACATAGCACAATGAAATGCTGGCCTTAATCATTAGCTGGGTGAAAGTGATAAAATCCTTAGTTAAGCCTTGTGGATTCTTATTTCATAATACTAAGCTAACCTGTAACTATAACTCCAGAATAGAGTGACCATAAATGGAGGAGATAAAGACCTCTGAAGTCATTACCCAGCAGATTTGAAGTAATGATATACCTTAGTCTGTACATAGTGTGAAGAAGTGAGATCTTAGTTTATCTTAGTGCAGCTGAACTCAACATACAACAATTACCCAGGGCACCTCCCTTGCAAATACTTCTCATTGAGCTGCATTAGGAAGGCTGTGATTGGACAGCCACAGAAAGTCTGGGCACGGTTTGAAGGGGAGGGCTTGCAAAGGCAGCAGACAAGAGAACTGCAGAGGTAGTACGTTGTTTTTAGATATACCCTAATGGAAAAAATAAATAAATGCATGCATGATTTCGTTGGGGAAATATGTATTTATTTTAATTTTGACAGTGGTGTGTCACTTTAACATAAACCCTAAATCCCCTTATTCCCATTGCTATAGCTCACCTAATAAATCGCAACTTCTCTTACATTGACGGAACTCAAGAACAAAACTCTCCTGTCAGTTCTTGGTTGAGTTCCAAAGAAATCAAGTAATTGAGGTTAATGGATAAAACTCTTGACTGTAACAACACACTGAGCAACTGAGCTAAATTAACTCGAACTACCTTCCTTTCCAGGAGTTTCACAGGTCTACTTGCAAGAACAGAAGTCTTCAGATGAGCCACTCACACCTGTCTAAAGCATATAGATCCCCACTGGGATACGGCAATCAACTTCTCCTGTATCTGTTTGTCAAATTTTGTCTTGTACTTTTGTCTTTTTCCGTGTACCCATCTGTGGCCATCTGTAGCCATGTCCAGAACTTTATAAATAAAGTATAAATTATAACAACAAAGTATTAAACTTTTCAATGACTTCATAGCAATGCTGTTTTCCCATAGAATTTCTAAAGTGTTAGCTCTTCTGGGAAGTTTTCTCCAGATTTTGTTTACGATAATCTGGTTGTCATTTACAATGTGTTTTATATTCTTGTTCTAAAATGAAAGCACTATGAAATATGTTACTGCTATAAAAATGATGATTATAATTACACGATTTAACATGGATAATTGCTAGTTGTAATAACAATTATGCCAGATGACTGTAATTTCAAAGGAAATATACACCCTTCTCAGTCATATGGTTAAGACGTAAATTATAGGTGCAAATTATTCAATGTTTTCAACTGGACTTTTCATTGAACTGAGA